AGACTGTTTCTCTGGGGCAATGCAGCCGTGTGGCAACCTGCCAACTCAAGGCCAAACAGGATGCTCCAGCATCAGACGCTGCAGGTGTATGTGGGAGGACTGAGAACAACCTAGTGCCTCCTGCTCCCCTTTTCTCTGTAAGTGAAGTCTCTGTTGGTTCAGGGTTGATCTTGATTGAGATACAAGACAGGAGATGCTGGGCTTAGTTCTTTTCTCCATAAGGCCATTATGTATCTCCATGCTCTGCAATGTCTCTGCCACTTCCCCACTTGGCACCCTAGTCTCAAACGTCAAACACTCCAGTGAATCGGTGACTGCCCTTTATCCCTTGTTCTGGCTCTCTGTTGTGGAGGAAGCACGCCAGGCACCTCTGGCCAACCATCTTACTTATGCATGAACCCCTAGATGCATTCCTGATAGGACTTCTCTCCCTCATCTACATATTGCCATTGAATGTAACCCTACACAGGCTTACCTTAGACCTGTCTGGTCACAGCACAGTGATGTGTGTCTGACGACAGGGAGAAATAGGAGGTAGTCCTTAGGATATGAAAGGAGCTGTTTGCACACAGAGGTTTCTTTCTTCTAGAATTTCAGGCTTCAGTTTTGTTCCAGGGGAAGTGAGATCTGGCATCACATGGATTTGTGCTCCGAGCTAAGGGAGTTTAAGAAAGAAACCAAGATCAAGAAGGAGTATAGAAATAATTGCAGCTGAGAGACAGGGATGGGGGTGGGGGTGGGGACTAGAAATCTAGACCACCTGTGAGTGTTTTATTCCACGCTCTAACATTTCCTGGCCCTGAGAGTCTGGGCATAAGACCACACTGAGATTCTGTCCCTTATCTGGAATGGCTGGGTTAGGTGATCTCTTAGGATGCTGTCAGGTACAGCATCAATTTTGTGAATGAATGCTGCATGGATTTCCTGTCTTCTACCCTTAGCTTTTCTGATTTGAATTGCAAGGATTCAAGGTATTGATTTTAATCATAGATTTGTAAAGGTAATGGGGGGAGGATCTGTCATGAATATTTTTCATTAAAAATTTGTAGTTTAATGTTTATATGGAGAGGCACAGGTTCTAGAAGAGTGAAAACGAATTTGAGAAAGTGGGAGGAATCACTCTACCTGGATTAATTACTGCTTACTACATGAAGTAATCAAGACAGCGAGGTACTGGGAAGGGATATTCACACAGACTGATGGGAAAAGAACCCCCAAATAGACCCACACAAATATACCCAACTGATTTTTAGGTGCAAATGCAATTCAATGGAGAAATGACAGTCTTTTCCACAAAGAATACTGGACATCCAGAGACCAAAAAAAAACTGACATAAATCTCACACTTTATTTAAAAATTAACTCAAAAAATTCCTTTAGCCATTGAAAGGTGGAGCTTCTGGAAATAACTTCTCTCACTTTTCCTTTCTCTGAAAACATCTTGATTTCCCCTTCATTACTGGAAAATTTTTTCACTGGATAGAAGAGGGTTCTCAGCTAACAGCTCTTTTCCTGAAAACGACATTTTAAAGATATTTGTAACTTCCTTTGGCCTCCACATATCTGGTGTCACCTAAAACATTTTTCCTTCATAAGGAAAATTTCCCTCACACTGTTTTAAAATTTTTTTCTTTGTCTTTCGATTTCAGAACTTTATGATGTTGCTTCTTGTAGATTTCCTTGCATTTATATTACGTGGGCTTTGTGCAATTAAAGCTGTGGGTTTATGTCTCTGGTGGAATTAGGTTTAGCCACTACTGTTTTGAATAATTACATCCTTTTGCAATGCACAGATTCTTCTCTCCTTTTTGGACTCCAGTTGCCTAGGGTCTTATTTCTTCGTAGTCTCACAGGTCCCTGAAGCTATGTTCACTCTTTCCTACTCTATTTTCTCTCTGTTGTCCAGATTGTGTTGTTCTGTATTTCAGTCTTCAGACTCACTGCGTCTTGGTGCAGGAGTAGCAGTCACCTATTGCTGCGTAACCAGGCTGATCGGACTAGGTGTCTGTGGTTCTGGGGCTCCACAGGGTTGCTGTCATCTAAAGGCTTCACTGGGGTGATACCCTGCTTCCAAACCCACTCTCATGAGTGGCTTAGCCCTGGCTGGCCTCCAGCTCCTGCCGGCTGTTGGCTGGAGCAATCGGTTCCTGGATACATGAGCCTATTTAGAGGTCTCCAGGCTCACGGCTTCTCAAGTGGTTTCCCACTTAGTCCATGAGAGCCGGCCCTGAATGGAAGCCACAGCCTTTTGAGAACCTAACCTTGGAAGTGACATGCTATCACTTCTAACAAAACTCTGTTCATCAGAATCTTGTCATGAAATCCAGTGTACTCTCTAAGAGAGGGGCTCAGACAAGCACTGCACATCAGGCACTGAGACCCTTTGGGGCATCTTACAGCCTGCCTACCACATGGAGTGATACTGCTGGTCTGGCAAGTCACACGGTGAAAACCACTGCTCTAATTACTGACCTCTGAACATGAACCTTTTCCCTGGGAAGATCAAAGCTCTCTGTTAAGTACATGGATACGCAGTCACACGTTGCCTAACACTTACCAACGGGGCCACATTCGGAGAAACTCACCGTTCTGTGACTTTGTCCTGTGGACATGATAGAATGTACTTATACAAACCAACATGGTACAGACCGCTACACACCCAGGTTGCATGGCATATGGTATAGCTTGTTGCTTATGATGAATAAGACAAAAAGAGATCAAATCAGACACAAGAGAAAATGTCTCAATCAGAAAACATGGCAAACATAAGATATATAAGGCTGCTGGTGTTCTAACATACCATTTGACTGTAAACTTCTTTTATAACGAGGAATATCATAATTCTAAAAAACATAGTACGGTAAACACATCAACCAGTGACACATTTATTATCAAGTATTATGTATCATATATACTTATCATGTGCAAAAATTTTCAGCTCCATGATAATCTTATGAGGCCGACCTTGTTGTGTACATGGTGTGGCGTTAACTGAAACATTGTTATTTTGCTCATGAGTGCAGCTGCATCCTCTCATGCTGGGGGATGCAGCGGGAGAAGAGCTTATTCTTTTTCCACTGAGCTTGTGGAATAAATCACCTAGGACATCCACACTGCCCACCAGCCTTCTCTCTAAAGGCCCTAGAAAATGCTAAGTTCTGGGCCAGCATTGTAGCATCACTGTTCTAACTGCCACCCGCAACACTGGCATCCCATATGGGCAGGGGTTTGGGTCCCAGCTGCTGCATTTCTGATCCAGCTCCCTGCTAATGGCCTGGGAACAGCAGTAGAAGGTGGCCCAAGTGTGTGGGTCCCTGCTGCCCACGTAGGAGACCCCGATGAAGCTCCTGGATCCTGGCTTTGGCCAGACCTAGGGTTAGCCATTTTGGCTAAATCTCAGTTCACAGGCTATACACCAAAACCACTATGCAACCATCCATCCATCCATTATCCACCCATCTCTCCAACTCCCTCCTCCTATATTCTCAATCCCTCTCTCTCTCTACTCCCCCCATAAATACATGTGTGTGTATAGAGTTTCTAAAGCAGACTCTTGATAAAGTTCAAAGAAACCCCACCTTCATTTCTACCATGTATCTTGCACAAAGGGCATGGTGGTGGCATTCCACAGAGGTGCTTGCTGGGAAGAAGTGTCTGCTGGCTGCGGATGGGGTGTGGCTACACTTGCACAGCACATGGGGAGAAAAAGGTTTCTTCTCTCGGTGGACTTAGGTTGATTCCAAAGAACAGGGATACTGGTGCCATCAACCCAAGCCTAACAGTTCTGCTGGCATGGGTGTGTTTTACTTTACAGTGGGTAGGTGGCTGGGTGCATAACCACACCCAGGGACAGTGATGGCAGTGGGAGTGAGGTGGAGCTTTGCACTCGGTTCTGTCAACCTCTGTGTCAAAGCCAAACGGAGTTTGGAATGTGCTCCTGCTGAAATTCTGTTCTCGAGGGTCACTGTTCAAGCCCTGGCCACCACCACTGACCTGTGAAGTGTGTTTTAATGAGCACACTTGAACATGACTATGTAAGACCCAATTCTTTGATCAAAGTAGAAGACTGGATGGTTTGAAACAGTCTTGAAAGTAGACATTTTAACCAAGAAAATATCTGTTTTATTCCTAATCTTCACATCTTCCAAAATTACTGTGGACAAAGAATTTTGGGGCCAATGCTGTGGCACAGAAGGTTAAGTTGCCATCTGCAATACTGGCATCCCATATGGGTGCTAGTTTGAGTCCCAGCTGCCCCTCTTCTGATCCAGCTCCCTGCTAATGCGCCTGGGAAAGCAGCAGAAGATGGCTCAAGTGTTTAGGCCCCTGCACTCATGTGGGAGACCTGGATGGAGTTCTAGGTTCCTGGCTTTGGCCTGACCCAGTCCCAGCCATTGTGGCCATTTGAGGAATGAACCAGCTCGACTGCTTGCTCTCTCCCTTCCTCCCTCCCTCCCTCTCCTTAATTCTACCTTTCAAATAAATATTTTTAAGATGTATTTATTTAAAAGTCAGAGTTACACAGAGAGAGGAGAGGCAGAGAGAGAGAGAGAGAGAGAGAGAGAGAGGTCTTCCATCTGATGGTTCACTCCCCAATTGGTCGCAACGGCCGGAGCTGCGCTAACACGAAGCCAGGAGCCAGGAGTTTCTTCCAGGTCTCCTACGTGGGTGCAGGGGTCCAAGGAGCTGGGCCATCTTCTACTGCTTTCCCAGACCACAGCAGAGAGCTGGATAGGAAGTGGAGCAGTTGGGTCTCGAACCGGTGCCCATATGGGATGCCGGCACTGCAGGCCAGGGCGTTAACCCACTGCGCCACAGCACCGGTCCTCAAATAAATATATATATATATTTTAAAAAAAGACAAATTTCACTGGAATCTGTACTTGGAGAATGAGCCAAAACCTAGTGATGTACACAAGAGGGAGTGACAGAGGAAGGACAGTGTCTCCCGGATTTGTCCTCTCTGCAGTGTCTGACCCCTTCTCCTCTCTACTCTGCAGAACCCCGAGCCCTGGGAAGAACCACCAGGCGAGCAGCCCCGCGGCGCCCAAGTACAGAAAGCTCTGCACACAGAGCCGGCTCCAAGGCCGCTGTCCAGCGCCCAGGTGGCAGGGTGGGCCCTCCCCTCCATCTCTGCAGAGGAGGCCCCCAGGGAGGCCCTGCCCCACCCAAGGAGCACCTATCAGCGCCTACGCTGCAGTGCGGATGACCTGTGGCTGGAGAAGACGCAGAGGAGGAGGCTGGAGGAGCAGGGCCAGGTTAAAAGGAAGAAGCATGCAGGGATCTCACACAAAGGCAGAGTCCAGGTAAGTCCTTCCCGAGCCAGGACCAGCCTAGAATCTTCTCTTCCCATGCAGCTGCCTGCCTTAACTGACTCTGCCCTGTGCTGTCACTCATCCCCTGCCTTCCCTCCTGCAAGGCCCCTGGAATACAGCAACCTGGCCAGGCCCGCCCCCTGCCCAGGACAGCATTTTCCCCAAAGCCATGGAGATCAGAGCTCCCTCCTCTTCCCTGGGGTCCCTGTTTGTGCCCAGCCCTACAAGGCCCCAAAGCAGAGAAGAAGAAGGTGAGTCCCTGGTACTCGAGGACTTTACCGTAGTAATCACCATTTAGTGAATGCCTACCGTGTGCCCAGTACTGCACTGGACCCTGCGTTAGCACTGGCCCTAATCCTCAGGAAAGTGCAAGACATTTTCATGTAACAGTCTTCGTGACATGAACTAAATGCAATGACATTTTGACACCACGATTTGGTTTTAATATTGAGACCTTTTTTTTTTTTAAATTTATTTATTTAGAAAGGCAGAGAGATATACAGAGACGTGGATAGACACAGAGAAAGGGCTTATTTTCCTTGGTGCACTCCCCACACAGGGCAAAGCCAGGAGCTCAGAACTCCATCTGGGTCTCCCACATGGGTGGCAGGTGCCTAAGCACTTGGGCAGTTATCTGCTGCTTTCCCAGGAGCATCAGCAGGGAATTGGATCAGAGCAGAGCAGCTGGGATTTGGCCTGGTGCTCCAATATGGATGTCAGAGTCACAAGTGGCAATGTAACCCACTGAGCCACAATGCCAGCCCCAACACCATGATTTCTGTGAAACTGGCAGCTTATCTGAAAATGACTTAAAAGTGCTGACATCAAACCTTTTACCCAACCTCTGAGTGTTGGCTGATTGCGCTATCCACTTTGTCTATTTCACTACCAAGTTTCTATTAGTTCTGTTGACCAATGAGATGTAAGTGGTGGAAGTCTCCAAAAAAGATTGTTAATTTTCCATTTCTCCTTTAAATTTAAATTCTATTAGTTTCTCCTCCATATATCTTGTAAGTCCATGGTTATTAGAGTCATCGAAATTAGTGACAGTTGTGCCAGCATTGTGGCATAGTAGGTAAAGCCACAATCTGCAATGCTAGAATTTCACATGGGCACCGGTTCATGTCCCAGCTGCTCCACTTCCATTCTAGATCCCTGCGAACGGTCTGAGAAAAGCAGCAGAAGATGGCCCACGTGCAGGGGCTACCCATGTGGGAGACCTGGAAGAAGCTCCTGGCTTCTGGCTTCAGCCTGGCCCACTCCCAGCCGTGTGGCTATCTGGGGAGTGAATCAGCGGAAGGGAGAGATCTGTCTGTCTTTCCCTCTCTCTGTAACTCTTTCAAATAAATACACCTTAAAAAAAAAAAAAAAAAGAAATTAAGGATGTTTATCTCTTCCTGGTAAACTCACTCTTACTATGCCGTGTCCTTGTGTATCCTTGTTAAGTTCCTTCTCTGGAGTTGCTTTTGTCTGATATCAATGTAACTACTCAAGTTTTCTTCTGAGGAGTGTTTGTGTGGCTTATGTGTTCCATCCTTTTACTTTTTACAACTTATTTACTTGTGAGGCAGTGAGAGCCAAGACACATGGAGAGCTCCTGTCCAGTGGTTCAGCAGCAACAATGGCTTCCGGGCCATGTCAAAGCCAGGAGCCGGGAGCTGAATCCAGGTCTCCCCCTTGGGTGGCAGGGACCTAACCACTTCAGCCATCATTGTTGCCTCCCAGGGTCTGATCAGCAAGAAGCCAGAATCGGGAGCACAGCCAGGACTACAGCCTAAGCATTCCAATATGGAATGTGGACATCCCACCAAACCTCTTAACCACCACCCCAACACGCACGCCCTCTTCCTCTTACTTATTTATTTATTTTACTTATCTTTATTTCAGGTTTCTTGTGAATAGCATATTTTAGATGTTAGGTATTTTCCTTTAATAAATTTGATCTCTTTCTTTTAATTATATTCTTTCATTTAAATGTATATATTTAATGTATTTATTAAATGTATACTGATGTGCTTGGATTTATTTCTACCAGGTCAGTGGTCGCCCATGTTCATATTCACTGCTTTATCTCCTTTCACTGTCTTCTGTTGGATTGCTTTGGTATTTTTAGTTTTCGGTTTTAACTTATCCACTGAATTTCTGTGCAGCTCTTGTTTTAGTGGTCGCTCTAGAGATGAACATACATCCTCAGCTTTTCAGTCTGCTTGGGATTCATACTGTGCCACTTCCAAGGAGAGCGCAGAAGCCTCCTGCTGTGGGGTTCCTTTACCCACCCTGCTGTGGTTTGGATGTGGTTAACTCACGTTAAGGCTTGGGCCCAACCTAACAGCACTGAGAGATGCTGGGACTCTGAAAGGGTAATCAGGTCACTGGGGCTCCACCTCCATGAAGGATTCAGGCAGGGCCCGTGGAGAGGGCTGGGTGTCATGAGAGGGCTGGGTGTCATGAGAGTACTGGGTGTCATGAGAGAGGGCTGGGTGTCATGAGAGAGGGCTGGGTGTCATGCGAGGGCTGAGTGTCATGAGAGAGGGCTGGGTGTCATGAGAGGGCTGGGTGTCATGAGAGAGGGCTGGGTGTCATGAGAGAGGGCTGGGTGTCATGAGAGGGCTGGGTGTCATGAGAGAGGGCTGGGTGTCATGAGAGGGCTGGGTGTCGTGAGAGGGCTGGGTGTCATGAGAGAGGGCTGGGTGTCATGAGAGGGCTGGGTGTCATGAGAGAGGGCTGGGTGTCATGAGAGGGCTGGGTGTCATGTGGGAGGGTGTCAATGTCTCCAGGCACTGAGTTCCTTCGGTTTTCCTGTTTGAAGTTTGCTGAGCTCTTACATTTTTAAGTTATGATTTGCATTTGTTTCCAGCAGTTACAAATATTTGTTGATATTATTTGACACCACAGTGTCTGCTTTCTGGGATGTTGCTGAGAACAGTAGACCTCTGCTGTATTCCATGAGTCCCGAGACTCTGTACTTCCCCCCAGTCTTTTTCTCTCTGTTCTGCTGGCTGGATCACTTCATGACTGTATTTACAAGCTGGCTGATTCTTTCCTGTCTCATTGTATTTTATAACTGAACTCTGCCAGTGAATCACTTATTTCAGTTAAGCTTTCCAGTTCTGATATTTCCATTTTATTATTTTTATATCTATTAACCTGCTGTATTTCCCATTCATTTCAAAATTATTCATGTTTACTCCTTTTTTTGAAGAGTTCTTTTTTTATTGGAAAGTCAGAGTTACACAGAAAGAGGAGATTCAGAGAGAGAGAGAGAGAGAGAGAGAGAGAGAGAGATCTTCCATCCACTGGTTCACTCTCCAGATGGCTGCAACGGCCAGCGCTGGGCCGATATGAAGCCAAGAGCCGGAGTTTCTTCTGGGCCTCCCACGTGGGTGCAGGGGCCCAAGGACTTGGGCCACCCTCCACTGCTTTCCCAGCCCATAGCAGAAAGCCGGATAGGAAGTAGAGCAGTGGGGACTCAAACCAGCACTGCAGGCAATGGCTTTACCTGCTATGCCACAGCACCGGCCCCCTCACTTCTTAGAGTATGGTTGCACAGGAGCTGTTTTGAAGTCTTTAAAAATTTAAAACACTGTGTCACCTTGGTGTTGGCATCTGCTGACTGTCTTTTTCCCTAGAAAGGTGAGATGTTTTCATAGTTCTATTTATGTCAATTAATTCTGGGTTGCATATTATAAAACTCTGGGCCTTGTACAGTTCCCATGGAGAATGATGATGATTGAGGTTTTCAGGCAACTGACCTGGCAAAATTCAGGTCACAAGGTGTTACTGGCCTTTTTCGTACGTCAGTCCAGGTTTAAGATATCTGCAGTGCTGTCTGGGGAATGCGGATCACCCAGTGGCCAGTCTGGAAATTACAATGTTCTACCCTTGGTACAGTTCTCAAAGACTCTGGGTCTATTCAGGGTCAGATGCACTCATGCACAGTTTGGAGGTTCAGCCCAGGGGTTCAGACATAACCATGGGATTATTCTCTTGAACTCCCTCCTCTCTGGCCTGAAGATTTCTTGGTCTTTTTTTTTTTTAAGAAAAATGATTTTTGTAAAGATTTATTTATTTATTTGAAAGGCAGCGTTACAGAGGCAAGGAGAGAGGTCTTGCATCCACTGGTTCACTCTCCAATTGGCACAACGGGCAGAGTTGGGCTGATTTGAAATCAGGAGCCAGGAGCTTCTTTTGGATCTCCCACATGGGTGCAGGGGCCCAAGGACTTGGACCATCTTCCACTGCTTTCCCAGGCCACAGCAGAGAGCTGGATCAGAAGAGGAGCAGCTGAGACTTGAACCTGTGCCCATATGGGATGCCAGCACTACAGGCAGAGACTTAGTCTACTATGACACAGCACCAGCCCAAATGATTTTTTTTTTCACTTATTTGAATGGTAGCATGATGGAGAGAGATCTCCTATGTGCTGTTTCACTACTCAAATGGTCCCAGTGGCAAGTGCTGGGCTAGGCTGACTCCAGGAGAGTGCAACTCCATCTGTGACTCTCATGTGGGTGTCAAGGCCCCCAGGACTCGGCCATCATCCATTGCTTCCCCTGGAGCATGAGCAGGAAGCTGAACCTCTTTGTCTCTTCACTAGAAACCTAGAGCTTTTGTTTTCCCACTGTGCCACTCACTTCCTGAAACTATTTCTATCTCTGGAACAAACTGGCAGGAGAACAGGGAGACAAAAACCGAAGTGAGAATTCTTCCACCCTCTTTTGGGGCTACAATTCCTAGGTCAGAAAGTATTCCCCTTCCTCAGAGTTTCAGGCATCTGCTTGCCCACCACGGCCACTACAGTGGGACTGTCTAGGGAGTAGGAGAAAACAGCATCAAAACACACACGATTTCCCCATTCCCTCCCGTCTTTGGGGACCCCTTTTCTCTCTTCAGACAAAGAAGGCTGTTGCTTTTGGAGTTCTTCTTGTCCACACCTAGTTTCAAGCTGCAGTTGGTTGGGTTCAGGCCAAGGGATCCCACAGGGACAACAAACAGGAAACACCGCAGGATTACCACAGCCTCACATCTTGTTTCCTTCCCCAACCCACCTGCTACCAAGTGCTTTCAGGGTCCTCAGGTGGCCGGTTGATGCCGTCTGCCTGGCGTTTTTAGTTGCATTCAAGTGGGAGGGATGGCATGCAGTATGCCACTGCATCTTAATCCTTGCTTGCATATTTCCAGAAATCACTAAAAACATTTTCTGAACACTGTTTTTGCTTAATAGTGTGCAGAGGGGCCGGCGCTGTGGCATGGTGGGTAAAGCCGCTGCCTGCAGTGCTGGCATCCCATATGGGCACCGGTTCGAGTCTCAGCTTCTCCACTTCTGATGCAGCTCTCTGCTATGGCCTGGGAGAGCAGTCAAAGATGGACTTGGAACAGTTTGCAGAATACAAAAGCAAAAGGAAAAGGAACAAGCACTTATTTGAATACATACTATGTTTTTAATGTTGATTTTATTTGTTTTCACCTACTTAAAAGGCAGAGTCACACAATCTCTCTCTCTCTCTCTCTCTCTCTCTCTCTCTCTCTCTCACACACACACACACACACACACACACGGAGAGAGAAGGGGAGTTGCAGATATTCTATCAGTTGATTTAGTCTTCAAATGCCTGAAACAGCCATGGGTAGGACAGGCTGCAGCCAAGAGCTCTAAACTCCATCCAGGTCTCCCACATGGGTAGCAGGGACCCAAGCACTTGAGTCATCACTTGCTGCTTCCTAGGAACATTCACAGGAAGCTGGATTGGAACTGGAAGAGCAGGACTCGAACCAGCACTTTGACATGGGTTACAGGCATCCCCAGCAGCAGCATAATCCAATGCCCAACTGCACACCATGATTTTTCAGTTAATAGCTTTATAAGATAGAAAAAACTGGAAAGGGGGCTGGCACTGTGGCGTAGTGTGTAAAGCCACTGCCTACAGTGCCAGCATCCCATATTGACACTGGTTCTAATCTCATCTGCTCCACTTCTGATCCAGCTCTCTGCTGTGGCCTGGGAAAGCAGCAGAGGATGGCCCAAGTCCTCGGGCCCCTGCACCCGCATGGGAGACCCAGAAGAAGCTCCTGGCTCCTGGCTTCGGATCAGCACAGCTCTGGCTGTTGCAGCCAACTGGGGAGTGAACCAGCGGATGGAAGACCTCTCTCTCTCTCTCTCTCTCTCTGACTCTGCCTCTCTGTAACTGCCTTTCAAATAGATAGATAGATAGATAGATAGATAGATAGATAGATAGATAGATAGATAGAGGAAAGGACAGAAGGGAGGGAGGGAGGGAGGGAGGAAGGGAGGAAGGAAGCCAAACCTGGAAAGGCCAAGTTTCTCACTCGCTTATGGGATGATAAAGAGAAGGACCACATCCCTTGCCTGCCCAAGAACCCCTATAATGCTGGACCCTTCCTGCCTTAAGGGTAGGGTCTGTTTCCTAGTTGTGAGCTGTCAGGAACTTCATAAAATGCATTTTAATCAAGTGCCCTCCAAAGAATGTGACTTAGCTAAGACAGTCTGGGAGATCTGGGAATCTGAGACTTCAGTGTGTCACACTGCTGGATGACGAATTAAGTCTGCCAGGGCTGCCACACACAGGCATTCAGGTTGCACAGAACAGATTCCAGGAGAAACTTCCTCATGCATTAGGTATTAAACAGCACCTTCAAGAGCTCTGCCCATTTTGACTACGTGCTTTGCTCCCAGGAAAGGCGCTGGGCAACTAGCAAAATGAGGAGGTAGCAACGGCAGCCTGTCATCTCTCTTCTTCATTACCCTCTGCCTCTTTCCTCCTCTCCTAGGGCTGGAGGAAGACGACTGCCGCTGCCCCAGAGTCCCTGGATCTCCCCAGAAGCCATCCGCTCTCCCAGAGTGCCCCAGCAGGACTGAACCACGTGGGCCGGCCACCACACACACCTGCCACTGGTGAGTTGCATGCCTTTCTTTCTGCTACACACTCTGGTGTCACGGCAAGTAGGAGAGGAGTGAGTACTGCTGGGGGCTTTGCTACAGAAGCAGTTTGATGGCGAGAGAGAAACAACTGTCTCATCCCCTTAGTTAGGAAGCAGGGCCGAGTACCCAAAGGCGATTCTTAGCTGGCGGCAGATTCCACTGTTGAATCTCCAGCCTGCTCTTAGCTTGGTTTGGGCAGAACCACTGACTGTCCCAGGGTCTTACGGATGCCTAAGATGTAACCTGCAGACAAAGTAACCGTGTAGTGAGCTGTCTCTAATCTAGTGATGGATCTTTAGGGCTTCCCCTGGTGAGGAGCGAGAGCCTTTTCTTTGAGATTAATGGCAGGCTGTATGCTAACAGCATCACGTGACATATTGGCCTACAAATCTGCTGACTTTTTGGGGCCAGAAGGGACTTGTGCCCAGGTGAGGGCCAGCTATGGCTACCACCTTTCTTAACACTAACCCAGGAGGGACTGGGCATGCTGACAGTGTTCAGGGGCTCCTGGTGGGAGGGCAGAGGTCGGGTATCAGGTCTTGAGCAGGTGTGTACTACCATACCAGCTGGCTGGAAGAAGAGGCTAACTCTGGTGTCTAAGAAAGATAAATGAGGGTAAATCCCTATAGGGAGTTGAAGAAACAAACCAGCTACAACTGTCAGAGAGACATGCACTCTGCCCAGGCTTGAGGAGCGAACACTGAGTGGGATAACCTTCAAGGCTATTAGTAGTTCGACTCTGTTGGAGCTTAAAGACCCACAGGAAGCCAGGGAGGCTGAGCAGAAGCTGATGTGTACCGAGTGCTGTTTTGCACCAAGCAGCAGAAGTTGGCACCTGCCATGTGAAGGAATCCATTCTGATGAATGGGATCTAGGATTGGATCTCCTGTGACTGGCTTCTTTTTGTCACATGTATCAGTACTTCATTTCATTTTATCACTGGATAACACATTTCATGGCATGGATATACCACAATTTGCTTACTCATTCGTCTGTTGATGGACATTTGGATTGTTTCCACCTTTTTGGTGATGGTGAACAATGCTGCAGTAACATTTGTATGTAAACTTCCTTGCAGACAAGTTTTGGTTTCTCCTGGAAATGGGGTCAAATGGGGGCTCTGTATTGAATCATTTGAGGAACTGGCAGCTGCATCATCTGCTAGTTCCCAATTTCTCCACATCCTCACCAACCTTGGTTATCTAACTTTTGATTTTAGCCAAACTAGTGGGCATAAGGTCGTATCCCATGATGGTTTTGATTTGCACTTCCCTGGTGACTAATGATATTCATGTGCTTATTGGCCATTTGTGTATCTTCTTTGGAGAAATGTCTATCAAAATTCTTTGCTTATTTTTTAAAATTTGTTTATTTATTTGAAAGGCAGAGTTACAGACAGAGAGAGGTCGAGACAGAGAGAGGTCTTCTGTCTGCTGGTTCATTCCCCAAATGGCCACAACAGCTGGAGGTAGGCAGATCCAAAGCCAGGAGCCAGAAGCTTCTTCCAGGTCTCCCATGTGGGTGCAGGGGCCCAAGCACTGCAGTCATCTTCCACTGCTTTCCCAGGCACATTAGCAGGGAGCTGGATCAGAAGTGGAGCAGCCGGGACTTGAATTGGTGCCCACATGGGATGCTGGCACTGCAGGCCGAGGATTTAACCCACTGCGCCACAGCGCCAGCCCCACCATATTGTCTTGATCACTATTATCGCAAACTAAGTATTGAAATCAGGAAACAGGAGTTTTCCTACTTCTTTGTCAGGATCTTCTTGGCTATTCTGGGTCTCTTACAAGTGCATATGAATTTAAAAATCAAGTTGTCACTTTCCTTAAAGGAATCATTTAGGATTCTGTTGGAGATTGTGCTGAATCTGTGAATGTTTTAGGAAAGCACTGCCATCTTGGGGGCCAGTGCTGTGGCACAGCAGGTTAAAGCCGCGGCCTGAAGCGCCGGCATCCCATATGGATGCCGGTTCAAGTCCCGCTCCACTTCTGATCCAGCTCTCTGCTATGGCCTGGGAAAGCAGTAGAGGATGGCCCAAGTCCTTGGGCCCCTGTGCCTGCGTGGGAGACCCGGAAGAAGCACTTGGCTCCTGGCTTTGGATCAGCTCAGCTCTGGCCATTACAGTCATTTGGGGAATGAACCAGCGGATGGAAGACTGACCTCTCTCTCTCTCTCTCTCTCTGGCTCTACCTCTCTCTGTAACTCTTTCAAATAAATAAAATAAATCTTAAAAAAAAATAAGGAAAGTAATGCCATCTTAATACTGAATCTTCTAAGACATGGATGTGGGATACTTTTATGTTTACTTGGATCTTTTAAAAATACTTTCAACAATATGTTATAGTTTTCAGAGTATAAGTTTGTATTTCTTTTGATAAATGTATTCCTAAATACTTTACTCATCTGGATGCTTACCATGCACCAGATAGAATCCCCCTAAAAATCATATATTGCAGTCGCATTATCCCCAGCATGACTGTATGTGGAGATAGGGCCTTGTCTTACTCTGTTTTGTGTTGCTATGGGAGAATTCCTGAGAGTAGGTAATTTACAAAGAACTAAGACGTCCGTCTTACAGCCCTGGAGGCTGGGAAGTGCGAGGTGGAGGAGACAGCACGTGGTGAGGGCACTCTTGCTGCATCATAGCTGGGCAGCGAGCATCTTGTGGGAAGGGAATGTGGGGGAGAGGGCAAGAGAGGGTCTAATCACCTCTTACTAGGCCCCACCTCCCAACATGGTTGCACTGGGAATTCAGGATTCTACATCTGAACCTTGGAACACACATTCCAACCACAGTATTCTACACATACCCCCCACACACACCAAATTCAATCCTCACATGCAAATACATTCATCATTCCATCCTAATAGTCCCAAAGTCTTAACTTATTCAAGCCTCAGTTCCAAATCCAAAGCCCAAGGGGCTGGCATTGTGGTGCAGCGAGTTAAGGGCATCCCCTGTCAGAGTTCCAGTTCAAGTCCTGGCTGCTCCACTTCCAATCCAGCTTCCTGCTAATGCATCTTGGAAGACAGTGGATAATGGTCCAAGTGCTTGGGCTCCGGTCACCCACATGGGAGACCCAGATGGAGTTCCTCCTACTGGCTTCAGCAAAGCCAGTCCCGGATGTTTCAGTCATATGGGGAGTAAACCAGCAGATGGAAGATGTCTCATTCATTCATTCTCTCTCCTTCCCTCTCGGACATTCAAATGAATAATAGAATAGATAAATAAATCTTTTTTAAAAAATCCACAAAGTCCAGAATCTTATCTAATCAGATATGAGTGAGGCTTAAGGTGGGATTCATCACAAGGCAAATTCCCCACACTACTCTGAGCCTATGAAATTAAACAAGTTATCTGCTTCAAAAATACAATGGTGGTCAAGACATAGGACAGACACTCCCATCTGGAAAGGGGTAACTGGTCCCTAAATCCAAAACTCAACAGAGGGAAAAAAGCTGGACAATAATCTCTGACTCTGTATTTGGTATCCTGGGCATACCAGGTAGCGTGGGACCTCTGAGGCCTCCATCAGCCCTGTTCCTTTGGTGCTACTGGGCCACTTAGCAGCTCTCACAGAGTATAGCTTTGGTCAGAGTCTCGTGCCCACAGCCTTCCTAGGCTGGGCTGCAGGCTGGTGACCTGTAGTGGTATGAGGCTCTCTAGACACTGCCCTGATGAAGGTCTCTGCGGAAGCTCCCCCACTCTGATGAGTCTCTGCCCGGGCCCCAAACTTATTTGGTTTTTTATAAAAAAAATAATTTCTATCTGCTTATTGGTATTCTATGATACAACATTATCATTGTAGCATCTTTCCAACACGGTTTCCTTTAGCTCTGTGGACACGTTCACAATGGCTACTCTGAGTTCTTTTTCTGGTGAATCTGACATCTGCTCACCCTCACGGGCAGCTCCTGTTGCCTGTTTTGGTTTTCTCCCCCAGTGTACGAGTCATACTTTCCTGTTCCTTTGCACCTCTCCTAATTTTTGGCTGGAAACTGGACATTTTAGCTCATCCGTTGTAGTAACTGACGACTGCTCCTTCCTCAGGCTTGTTCTTGTTCTCTGATTGTTTCCTAACTTGCTGAATCATTTCAGCAAAGTGTGCCTCCCTTCCCGCAGCCAGCAATGTGCCTCAGGGAGGTGCAGCTCTGAGAGTGTCCTCGGTCACCCTTGGATGAGGGTGGCTTTGATTTCTCTCTGGCCACGCCCAGCTATTCAACTCCACCAGTTGGCAGCTGCTTGCTCTGCTGTTTTCGATATTATCCTGGGGCATAAATTGTTCTGCAAACCACTCCAATCAAAGTCTGGCTCAGTGGAAGGAGTGCAAGTGACTCCGTCCCTATGGAGCTGGTTCCAGGACCAGGGTGGATACCAGTAATCAGGGATGTTCAAGCTACTTTATCAGAAAGGTGCAATATTTGCCCGGCACCAAAGCATTTCCTCCTATATGTTTTAAAGCATCTCCGTGCTACTTATAATACCTAACACCAAGTGGATTCTCTGTAAATAACTGATATACTGTACTATTTAGGGGACAAAAGCAAGGGGGGAAGTTTCTACACATTCAGTACAGATGTAATTCTTTTTCCCCCTGAATATTTGCCATCCGTGGTTGCAGCAGCCGCAGATAAGGAGAGCTCTGTCCTTGGGAAGGTCGGGGTTTGGTGTCTTCCCTGCCTCCCAAACAGCTCCTCCCAGCTGTCTTGTTCCAACTTCTCTCATGCAAACCACTGAGGCTGCAGCGGCTCCTTCTGTATCAGCTCCAGCACTCTCCTCCCAACTCCTTTAACCACAGCCTCCACGGCTGTTGACAGCACCTAGAGGCTTAAAATTCTCCATACCTTGTTGCACACGAGGTCAGCATCTTTGGGATGAGACTAGAAGTTCTCTGTTTCACAGTCCGCTTCTCCTCCGCGGCTCTGGCACTGGGGGTGAGGACGACAGCCAAGTTTGGTGGAGTCCTTGC